ACTTTGCTTTTAACCAGGCAGAGGAGGCCAAACCCCTGATGGAGTTTTATGAGGAGGTGAGATGGCGGGACCCATCTGGATGGAATCCTGTGGTCGTTAGGAGGGTTGGGGGTAGGATTTGGTAGCTGCAGGGCCCACAGACATGGTACCAAGAGCATGCAGAGTACCCAGGGAGCCAGAGGGTGATGCTCTCGGTACCCAAGGGACATGATAACCATCGGGTGACTGTGGGACATGGTACCCAGAGGGGCTGGAGCTATAGTTCCCAATGTACCAGATTCCAGGGGCCGCCCAGCCCTGGGCTCACCTGCCTGGCGTGGGGTGAGGGCTCTGCCCTGTAGCAGTGCAGGCTTGGGATCTGTGTGCCCGTGTGCCACCGGAGCTATGCCCTTCCCAGATCAAGAAGTACGAGAAGCTGGACTCGGAGGAGGAGCGAACTGCCCGGAGCCGCCACATCTTTGACCATTATATCATGAAGGAGCTGCTGGCCTGCTCCCACGTGAGTGCCATGCTGTGCCAGCGCCACAGTGGGGAGAGGTACCAGGGAGGCATCCCCAGAGCAGGTGGGAAAGATGTACCCAGTGTCCCTGGCACTCAGTGTCTTCAGAGGGAGCTCCAGACACACCATTGACTCTGTTCTGGGAGCCACAGACCAACCCTATGGATGGAGGTTCCTCCATGAGTCCCCCTGCTGCCTGGTCACTGTGGGACTGCCTTGACCCTGTGCCTGTATCCCTTCTGCCTGGGGTGACATGATCCCGTCTTGCTTCACAGCCCTTCTCCAAGAGTGCCACAGAGCACGTCCAGAGCCGCCTGAGCAAGAAGCAGGTACCTCCAGACCTTTTCCAGGTGGGCATCACCCAGAACAGAGAGAGGGTCTCTGCCACCTCTGGTACTCGGAGGGTTAATCCTTACGGGGGGGCTGGTGAGAAGGAGCTGGTGGCCATGGGAGCCCCTAGAGATGAGGAAGTGGTCTCAGAAAGTATGAGGACTCCAAGGGGTGGTGAGGGGATCCCCAGCAGGTTGGGAATAAGAGGGATTGCTGGTGGTCCCCATGGGGTGATAGTCAGGAGACTCAGGGCCGGAGGTGATGGTCAGGCTCTTCAAAGGGTGGTGATTTGGACTCTGGATGTAGAGGTGACTCAGGGTGACAGCAGGGTCACCAGGGGTGGTGACATTGGGGTCCCTAGAGACCCCAGTGACCCTGGGGGGCAGAAGCATCCCCAGGGGGCTGGCAGTGGCAGGGTAGCGGGAGAAATACGTGAAGTGCCAGGGTTGAAAGAAACCTGACATCGTGATGGGACGTGAGGGGTATGGGTGACCTGGGTGACACCGGGGACCCAGCACTGAACTCTGTGTGTGCCCTCAGCCCTACATTGAGGAGATCTGCCAGAACCTGCGTGGGGGCATCTTCCAGAAATTCATCGAGAGGTGAGATGGGGGACAATGCCATGAGGATCGGGTTGTCCCATCCCGGCCCAGAGAGGGAACAGGGGTCCCACCTTAGATAGGAGCTCCAGGGGTATCTGTTCCCAGACGGGGGTCCCGGGGGCTGCTGCCTGTCTCCAGACAAGTCCAAGGGGTCCTTCTGCCCTGAGACAGGTGTTCAGTGGGGGGTGTCTCTCCAGGGGCTCCACTCTTGCCCTCTCTGTGCTTCATTGCAGTGACAAGTTCACGCGGTTCTGCCAGTGGAAGAATGTGGAGCTGAACATCCATGTGAGCAGGGACCCCTGCGCCTCGGGGGCACCCCGGGCACCTCTGGGCACTTCCAGGGAGGGGGGACATGGGCACAGTGACAAGGCTGCTGCGCCAGGGCTCACTAGGGCTTACGTGTGTACCCTTGGACGAGCACCCCGCAGGGGCACCCTCACACACCCCCCAGGCTTTCACTCACTCACAGGTGGCTCTCCCCCACCTGCCCACGCTCATGGGAACACGCGGCTCTGTGTTCCTCGCCTGGGGAAGCTAAGGCAGGGTGTGGGATCCCCCTGCCACCACGGACACACACAGCTCTTGGTGCAGGGCAGGTGCTGCGGGTCCCGGGTGTCCAGGTTCAGCCTCACCTCCTTCTCACCCCCTCCAGCTAACCATGAACGACTTCAGCGTTCACCGAATCATCGGTCGCGGCGGTTTTGGGGAGGTCTACGGCTGCCGGAAAGCGGATACAGGCAAAATGTAATGGGGGATGCTCTGTCGCGGGAGGCTGGAGGGATCAACCTGTGACTGGGAGGGGCGGGTAGGAAGGCTGCTGGGGCTGTGGTGGTGGTCCCAAAGGCATCTACAGTGGTGTTGCCATGATGACAGATGTTAGGGGGGTTGCTGAAGTATCACCATGGCTACGGGTCTCTGGGGGATACAGGGATGTCATGGCTGTGGGTGGTAGCTGGATGCGGTGAGGTGGCTGTGGGTGCTGGCAGTGGAGGGACACTATGGCATGGCTGCGGTTGGTGGGGCCGTGGGCAGAGGCAGGCTGTGGCACCGAGGCTGCGGGCAGCAGCAGTACCCTGCAGGGACTCTTTGCCCCCAGGTACGCCATGAAGTGTTTGGACAAAAAACGCATCAAGATGAAGCAGGGCGAGACCCTGGCCCTCAACGAGCGCATCATGCTGTCCCTCGTCAGTACTGGGGTGAGGGGACGCAGGCACTGGGCAGGGCTGGCACCCCAGTCACAGGCTGTGGCACAGGCGAGGGGAGGGGGACAGTGAGGGAGGGTGTTCCCAGGGCACTGTTGGCACTGCGTGACCCTGTCTCTCCTGCCAGGACTGCCCATTCATTGTCTGCATGTCGTACGCCTTCCACACACCCGACAAGCTCAGCTTCATCCTCGACCTCATGAACGGTGAGAGGCTGCTGGCCCCCAAGGACCC